TGCACGAAGGTTTTTTTGCAATCCTTCGTTCAAGATTGCAAGGGTTTTTTTTGCAATCCTGGGTTTTTTGCAATCCTTCGTTCATCAGTCCCAGAGGACAAACGCGCGTTAGCAGGCAGTGTACGCGGGCGTCCCAGTGGGGAGCCACTGGGGGGTGCATCAAGGGACCGCCCGCGGCCAGCCTCGGGGGAGCCTCTGACGCAAGCCGCCCGTATTGTGACGCAGACGTGCCTCTCTTCGCAGCGAGGTGGCATGCGTCACACTCGCTCGGGCCAACGACGGGATTGTCGCCTCGGAGTACTCCACGTGCCTGCTTGCGCCCGGCATGTATGGGAGCTTCAGGGTACGACGCGGTTGACGTAACGGAAGCGTGCCTCCCAGTTTCGTGATCACGGTGGTGTAGCAGGCATCGTTCGCGGGCTTCCCAAGGAGGAGCCACCAGTGTGGGTATCATATCATGTGACGGAGCGTCTGCGCCCAGGCTTGTGGTGCTTGGCGCCCGTTTTGGGACGCAAGCGTTTCTCTTGGCACCGCTCGGACGTGTGCACTTGGTCTTGGCGAGGACCCTCGAAAAGCATCCTGGATCATCTGGTGAAACTGCACGCGGTCGACCGAAACATGCACGCGGAATGCGAGGCAGCAGGCAGCAGGCGCCGCCGTCGGGCCGCCCAAGGGGGGTATACCACGGGCCCGCCTGCGCCCGGGTCGGTGGGGCCCCATCAGGTAGAACGTCCGCTCTGCACGCGTGAGGCCAGACGCCACGGTCAGCCTGGTTCGCGCGCCAAGAGTATTTACCAGGGTTCGTGGATTCCGCCGACGTGTGCGCAGAGTTCCGCGCGCAAGCGAGGCGTCGTAGATTGCGATAGCGTGGAGCGTGAGCCCGTGGAGCCCGCGGAGAAAGTCTTCCCTCCTCCCTCCCTCCTTCCCCTCCCTCCCTCCCCTCCCTCACTCCCTCCATCTGAAGGCCCCTTCGTCGGGCCCGCGAATGGTTAGTGGACCCCCTTCTCCAGGGGCAGATCCAGGAGGACTGATCTCGAGCGGGTTGTCGCTCCCGTCCTCTCTCCGATGCTGCATCAGACCGCCAGGGCTCCCTGACCCTCCACTCTGTTGGATTGGACCGCTCCTGGCTCAGCTGCACGCCGTGCTCCCTCCACCTCCCTGCCTCCTCATCTCCTCTCCTCTCCATCCCTCCTTCTCTCACTCCTCCCTATGTTCTTCCCCCCCTCTCTCCACCTCCCTCCTTCCTCCCTCCTCCCTCCCTCCTCCCTCCCTCACTCGTGCTCCCGCCTCCCTCCTTCCCCCTCCCTCCCTCTCTCCTCCTCGCTCCTCCCCCATCCCTCGTTCCTCCCTGACTTCACCAAGGATGGCTCTCTGGCGTGCGCACTTCACGCTCAGGTGCGTCTCTGCCTGCGCCGCTTTGAGCCTCCTCCCCCCTTCTGGGCGGTACGTCGGCGGCTGCGAGCAGCTCTGGCGCATACGCCAGGGCATGATTCCTTGCCGTGGCCTGGGACCGGTCGTGCCCCTCGGAGCGCAGGACCGCACGCGTATCGCGCCGCATGTCAGCCGCGCAGCGCCCGCTGCGCCTCCTGCGCGAAAAATATGGTACCCTTCCCGTGGCCTCGCGGGCCAGGCCCCCAGGCCGCGACCCCACGCATACGGGGCGGTTTCTCGCGGACGCCCCGTACTGCACGTATCCGTGCGGCCGCGCATTCGCGGGATCGCGCCCCAGAGTCCAGACCACGAGGGCGCGGATGCCGCCGTGTTCGCCTCTCGTGAGCGCGTGCTCCCGAAGCCGCGGGGAACAGCGTGGCCCGCAGGCAGCGCTGGTGCTGACGTCGCCTCCTCGAGCATGATGTTGAATTTGCTGCGAGCTGCAGGCCGAGAAGCGACCGGCGCGCCGCGGCACCACGGGGTTTCCGAGCTTCAGGCCAGCCCCGATTGGGCAAATGCGGAGGCGCTCTCCTGGAGCCTGGCTGGACGGGTGCGCCCCCCGACGGGCTGTGAGCCCTGCCGATCCAGACCTCCCTCGCCCACCCACCCTCCGCCGCCGCGTGCGGCTTCCCCTCCCCGCCCTCCGTGCGGAGGAGGCGAAAAGTCGGGGTGCTTTCCAGCTCGGGCTGAAGGCGTGTGGGCTCGGCAGTCGGTGGATGGCCCGGCGCGCGCCCTGGCGGCCCAGCCCTCCTGGCCGCCCTCGTCTTGCGCGGTGTGCCGCCGCCGCCGTGGTCGCCGCGCTCCTCGCTCCGCCTTCTTCCCGCCCTCCTCGCTCCTTCTCCTCGCTCCACGAGGAGGAGGAGGAGGAGGAGGATGAGGAGGAGGAGGAGGAGGAGGAGGAGGACGAGGAGGAGGAGGAGGAGGAGGAGGAGATGGAGATGGAGGAGGAGGAGGAGGAGGAGGAGGAGGAGGAGGAGGAGGGGCCGCCTGGCGGCCCGCCCCGCGCCCGCCGCGAGGCGACGGCGCCCGGGCGCTCGCGCGGGTCGTCCACCCGGGAGCGCCGGAGAAGGACCGCCGCGGCGGAGCCTCCTCCCGCTCCTAATCCTCCTCCTCCTCCTCCTCCTCCTCCTCCGCCCGCCGCTCCCCCTCCTCCCATCTCCTCCGCCTCCGTCTCCTCCACCTGGTCCTCTCCACCCTTCCCCTTTTTTCCCCTCTTCCCCCTTCCTCCTCTCTTTCCCTCCTCCTCGTTCTCCTCCTTCTCCTCCTCCTCCTCCTCCTCCTCCGCCTCCTCCCCCCCTCCCCCCTTCCCCGCTCCTCCCCTCTCCCCCCCCTCTCCCTCCCCCCTACCCCCTCCCCCTCCCCCTTCCCTACCGTTCATGAGCGTGAAGCTTTAAAATGACAACAGCTTCACGGATGGAGGGCGAGTCGCCTCGAAAATGTGGTTGTCGCCTTAGCGCCGCTCACATTCGTTTTAAAGCATGCAAGAGCTTCACGGATTGAGGGCGGATCGTCTTCAAAATGTGGTTCTCGCTTTAGCGCCGCGCATATTATGTTCCTTAAAATTGCAAGATCTCCACGGATTGATTGAGGGCGGCTCGTTTTCAAAATGTGGTTCTCGTCGAGCGCCCCGCACACTCGTCTTACAAATGCGCATGAGCTTCCCGGATTGAGGGCGGTTCCTCTTGAACATGTGGCTTTCGACTCTAGCCCGCGCACATTCGTCTTAGGAGGTGCAAGAGTTTCACGGTCTCTCATGGATAACATTCCAGAACTTGTGTTCTTGAGCGACTCAGGGTTGCCAGGTCGCATCAGTTATGTCGATTCGCGGCGTTGACGTCCCAGGAACGGTGTTCTGATACGTTTCTGGATCGTCAGGGCGCAACAGTCCGGTTGATTCGTGTTGTCAAAGTCCTGGGAATGGCATTTTGGCACGCGTCAAGGTTTTCACACTGTTGTCCCCAAGCGGCGCATTTCCCTCAGTGCAGATGAACCCTTGTATGGCCCTGCGAAAAAGTGAGCTTGGATGGAGGGTGTCTTCCAACATCGTTGGTGAGTATAGGGTTTCATTTGGTCCTGTTCTTTCTCATCCTCCTCCTGTTCCTCCGCCTCCTCCTCCTCCTCCTCCTCCTCCGCCTAGCCGCTTCCAGGCTTCTGAAGATAAGACTCCTTCGGTCGTGCATTTGGAAGTTGTGCAACGGCCGAGAGCCAACGATTCCTTACCCGTGCCCATTACTGAAGACGACACGGGTTGGCGGCGGACGAAGGCAGTTCCAAACCTGGAACCGCCAATTTCATGTGGCGCACATCACGCCGCGAATGTCGGAAAGATGGACCCCCGAAAGTTCAGAACAAAGCGCGCCGGCCAGGGTTCCGCGAGCCTCGGGTGTTGGGTGACTGACTTAAGGGGCCGCCTGATTTCGGTGGCTCAGCGGGGGCAAGGGTCGCGGAGGCAAAAGTGCAGCAGCTTACAAGGGCAAGGACAAGCCCTTCGACACTGAGGCAGTTATCAAGATCTTGCGCGCCCGTGAAAAGCAGACAGGCACATCAATGGCAGAAGTGGTGGCCTTCTCGGAGAAGCCGCCTGGGGAGGAGTGTCGGCCCGTCGATCTCAGCACAAAGTTCCTCCAGGACCTGCTGGGGCGCGAGGCTCGCAAGAAGAAACAGGTCGAGGCGAGCCAGGCTCGAGGGGAGGATGTAGCGGCAGCCCTCGAGGAGGCTCAGAGGTCGCTCGCCGCCCAGCGCGAGCAACTCGCCTCGCGCACTTCGTGCCTTGACAGGGTCCAAGAGGCCATAAAAGGCCAGAAGGCGCGAGCGGTCATCCCCTCCAGCGAGGACGGGGCCGAGAAGAGGGTCGACGGCATTGCGCTGCTGGAGAAATCCCACAAGATGCCCGATGCCGCGGCCCAGCTGTTTCAGGTCAGTTGCGGGGGCCTCAGGATTGCCGCGGTGGCCGAGCTCGCTGAGGATTAGCAGAGGGGCGCCCAGGCCAAGCAGCAAGTAGCCGCTGGGGCTGCTGCTCCTGCTCCCGCCGCCACCGGGGGCGGCGGCAGCGCGGCCGTGGACCTCGACGGCGGCGTCGAATCCGACGCCGAGGACGAGGGGTCCAGGAGTTGCTGCGTGATGCCGATGTCAACGTCGCCAACGAAGGCGAAGGTCCAGCGCTTGCCGAGCGCCCTTGCCGCCCCGGCCAAACGAGTCAAGCGGGGCGGGTAACGGCGCCTGCTCGTCAGCAGCGCTGCCAGGAGCTTTTGCCTTGGAGGCCCCAGGCCCCCAGACGCCTCGCCAGCGTGCCGGGGGCGGTGGACAGCAGTCCAGCCGCGCCCCGCGGGGTGCGCTGATCACCGCGGCCACGGGCGCAAGTGTGAATCTCCCCGCTCCTGATGCAGGCAGCGGGCCGGCGAGGGAGATTGATCTCGTGGGAGGGCTTGGCGGCGCAGGCATGCATGGCTTCTCGCTGTGGTCTGCCACTTCGCCCGCTTGGTCCTCGGCGCAGACGCCTATGGAATGGGCGAAGGGCCGCGAATGCCACGCGCCGCCAGACGCGACGAGCATCCAGGAGCACAAGATCAAGGAGACAGCTCTCCTGTCGTCTGCTTCGGGATTGGCCTCTAAGAGGGGCTTCGCGCGGTCTCGCGCCCAACGAACTCCGCTGGCGACGGGCCGCTCAACTCTTAGTGGAGGAGTGGCGGCCCTCAGCAGGATCACTACTATGCGAGAGCTGCTACTGGAACATACTTCCTGCCGACGCGCAGGGTGGAGGCGCCAAGACTGAGCCTAGGCATGCCAGTGCCGCTTCGTGCCGTTTCCTGTACTTGGTCACCAGCGCGGGCATCAACGTGGAGAGCATCGGCACATTGGCGATGGCGTTCCCAGGCTCTCTGCCTGGGCCGTGCGTCGCGCTGGGTGACGTCAACTCGCCGCCTGAGCTGTGAACAGAGTGGGCCGCCAAGGCCTGAGGGGCGTCGGTCGCCACTGGGGCCCCGACGTTTCGGGGCCGAGAGATCGACTTCGGAGTCTGCTCGAAGGCCCTGGCCGCGTTTGTCGTCCAGGCGGCGGCGCCGATCGAGGGTTCCACGCAGCAGGGGCGCGCGCCCTTTCGCGCGCGCGCGGGGGGCCCTGGCAACGGGGCGCGCGTCACCTGAGCGGTTTTCTTTCTCACGTCTCTGCTTGAACAGCTCCCCCCCCCGGCGCGGCCGCCGCCGGTCGGGGCCGGCGCCGCGGAGCGGGCCTGGGGGTCGACCGCGGCGGCCCCGACAGCTCTCGGCGATGTGCGTTGGGCGCGGTTCCAGCGTGCGGATACACATTTTGCCGAGTTTCAGAATCTGGCCGAGTGGAGCCAGCGCCCCTGTAGAGGGCGCGCGGGCGGTTTCAGGGTCGCTAGTGAGCCATTAAGGTCGCTGAAGCAGCGCTCCAGCGCCGCTCGCCGCTCTTGGGCTCGGTGCAATTCGGCGGCACATCGCTCGGCGGAGATCGCCACTGCGCCCCGAGCTGGCGGCGCTGCGAAGACAGCGCAGAGCGGTTTCCAGCGCGGTGCTTGACGCCTTGCCCGATGGCGGCCCGCTGGCCGCATGAAAGGAAGGGCCCAACGAGGACCTCGTCAAGCGGCTCTTTTCCGCCGAAGCTGCCGACGGAGAGCGCGCCGCTGGAACTTTCGACGCTTTAAGTCTGCGCGCGCCCAGGCCCCAGAGGGCCACTCGACCTGCGGCGGCCAGGGCGCGACGAGACCGGGCGCAGGCGCCAGTTCAAAACGGCGGCAGCATCGCCTCTCGCTTCGTTGACGACGCAGCGCGGCCGTCGGAGATGCAGGCCGACGAGTGCGAGGGGTCTCTCGCGCTTCCCATTGCAGGGCAGGAAGCCCTCGATCACATTGTGGGCAGCTGAACCCCGCTCTAGGTAAACCATGCGAGCGCTAGCGAAGTGACCCCTAGGCTTCGGGGCGCATCAGGCCCCGGTCAGGCTAGTGCCGACTCGCCTGCTGAATGCGATGCTGGCCCGCCTGCGCGCGGCGCGTTTGGGGGGGCCCCCCAGCCGGAGCTCCAGGCGAGTCTCGCGCGTTCCCCCGGCTGCCGGCGACGTCGGCGGCCAGGCCGACAGCGTTCGCGCGCGCCCGCGCTGGTTCCGTTTGCAGCGCCCCCCCCCCGGGTCGCTTTTGCTTGCTCGTTCGCGGCGGGGCTCGGAGGGGATCGCCCCCGCGCGCGTCAAATGTTTTTTCTGCGAGTCTCTCATCATCGAGCCATCCTGGATATATTGCGCGATCGGGGAAGTCGCCTGGTGAGGTTGACTTGCGAATGCTGAATATTTTCCCAGTGGGCCGAGTCCCCTAGGAGGCGTGCGACTGATTCCTTTTTCTCGCTCTGGACTCGCGCTTGGTCGAGGCGTCGTTAGGTCGTCGCTCTTCGCCTGGAGCTCACCGCCCAGAATGCATCCTCTGGGGGGGTCCTCGCAGCGCGCAGGAGGTCCGGTTTAGCGCATCATGTTTTGCAACGTTTCGCTGACATTAAAAAAGGTTCCCCATCGGCCGGCGAGTTGTTCGACCTGTCCAAATGCTGCGCGCTCATTCCACGCGGAGAGCTTCGTCAGGCAGCTATTAATTAAGACTTGCTTGAATATTCAACTCAAGGGTCGCTGCGCAGCCAATCGGCCGCCGTGGAGAGCGGCGTGGAAAGCAGTTGCCCCAGGGCCAATTTCGGCGAGCGGCGCTGTAGCGGCTGGCTGTGGCGTCGCGCTGGCGTTGTCCAAACTCCTGGTGCGCGCTCTACTATTTAGGCTGAAGTGCGTATTCCTTCCAGTCAGATACAGATCCGGGTCGACGATTACCTACCCCGAGCAGCGGGCGCCGCGGCGCAGGCGCTGAATCAGTTGTCCGAGGCCACGACGGCCCAGGGACTGCAGCGCAAGGGCCCCTATGTCAATGGGGCAGAACGTTTCCTCGGCTTCCTCGTCCAGCCGGGCTGAGAATCTGAGGCCCCCTTCAGGGGGGGTCGCCCCCGGGGGGCCGGGGGCTCACCGCCCAGAATGCATCCTCTGGGGGGGCTCGGAGCGCGCGGGAGGTTTGGTTTAGGGCGCCAT